TAGACATTGTGACTGAAGTGAAGTGGATTCTCATAGTTTTGATTTGCATTTCCTTAATGGCTAAAGATATTTAAAATTGCTTCACATGTTTCGTTGACCACTACTCTTCTTCTGTTGAGAAGTGTCTGTTAAAATCATTTGCCCATTCACCGGTTGGACTCTGCCCTTTTCTTGATAACATTTTTATCCTTTTTATGTTAATGAGTATTAACTATCTGTCAGACACATAGCTGGCAAAGGTTTTTACCTATTCTTAGGTTATCTTTTCATTTTGTAATTTGTTTCATTTGCTGTGCAGATTCAATTTAATTCAATGTAACTTCATTTGTCAATTCTTGCTTTTATTTCCTGAGCTACTAAGTTCTGTTCAGGAAATTGTTGTCTGGGCCAACATCTTGAATTATATTCTCTATGTTTTGCACTATAAGTTCCAAAGTTTTGAGTATAATATTAAGGTCTTTGATCTGCTTGTAGTTGATTTTTATCGAAGGTGAGCTGAAGGGATCCAATGTCAGTTTTCCACATTTGGATATTCTATTTTCTCAACACTTTTTTTAAAGAAACTCTTTCTCAATCTATGTTTTTTGAACCTTTGTCAAAGATCAAAGGCTGCAGATATGTGAGTTTATTTCTGGCTTGTGTGTTTCCCCTTTTTTTGTAATTTATATCTAAAATCACCTTCAAGGCCTTATGTATCTTCAAAATGCTTCAAGTATAGGGATGGATGGCATAGCTTACTATCTGTTAAGTGGGATTTGTAAGGTCAGAAGAGCAGGTTATTGGGGGTGTGTCCTAGAAAGGTATAGTTGTTTTCCTAGGTCTTCCCTCTTATTTCCTGCTGCTGTGACATGAGCGGCCTCTCCTCTGCTATGCTCCTCCTTCAGGCCATCCACCACTGCAGCCAACTGACTTTAGTCTGTAAATGTGTCCCAAAATAGACCACTTCTCCTTTAAGTTGTATAGTTCAATTATCAGGTCCAGTGATGAGAAAGGGACTAAGACAAATTTTGATACCAGGTAAGTGGCACCATTGCTGGAATTGTAACTGACGGTATGATTCATAAGCCTTGGGAACTCATTCACTTGTAGGAGTTTGGAAAGATTTGGAGATAATAGATGAAGAAGCCATAAAGTGCTATAAACTGACCGTGATGGAAAATTATGGTTGGCTGTCAAAAACCAGCATGCCTACAGAAATAGAAAAAGCAAAGTCTAGGTTCAGGTCATTTCAGTTGGAAATAAGGACTCCATTGACAACTAAACAAATAGGTGTGTTGTGCTGTGCAGAAAACCTGTCTACATTATGTTGATGTCTGGAGACTGAGAATAATGGAACAGATGAATTCTTCTGGATGAAGAAATTTCAAGGCAGTTTAACATCCAGGCTGTGGCATGGGTACTGTTGGGAGTTTTCATTTAGCTCTTCACGGAGAATCAAAAACAAATGGCACGGCTGAATGATTTTAAATATTTTCAGTTTTGACAGAGAAAAAGCACCTACAAAGATGGATCCAAGGAGAGCTTAGTTGCTGAAAAAGTCTCTCTTAAAAGAAGCCAAGTTCTTTGAATCAGAGCAATAGGAAAAAGAGATTGTGAATATGTCAAGAATCAGTATGACTCCTTCGTTCATAGGCTCAGGAGTCTGATAGGGCTGTAAGACTTCCTTTTGTTAAGAGATCCTCAGGTACCCTTAAGAATGACATTTTTCTCTGGGATTTTGCACTTCAGTATTGTTAAACCTAGTTTATATAATTTAAATTATGGAATATTAAAAGATGAGTAAGCATAATTCCAAGAAAAAAATTTTACCCTCTAGTCTGGGGAGGGAATTAATACATTTCCATTTGTATTCAGGATAGTTGTATCATGTTAGGCATAATTATGAAGCTGCAATTATATTTAGTAATTAAATACAGTTTAAGGAGGTGCATCCTGTTCTCAAGTAGTCAAGGATTGGATTTAGATCTTTAACTGTGATACATCAATTTGACTCATACAAGATTTGTGTAGAAGATTAGTAAAGCTCTGAGTGTATCAGTGGATAATTGACAAATTGGCCTCAAACTGAGACAGGAGGATCTATCCTGAATGTGAGTAGCACCAACCAATAGATTATGATCTGGACTGAATAAAAAGAAAGAAGAAAGAAGTCTTACCTTTTCTTCTGCAGAAGATATCTGGTCTTCACGACTGCCTTTGGGCATTTGTCTCCTGTTCCTTCAAGTTTCCAGTGTAGACTCTTCCTCTTTCTAATTTAGATCTTTACACTTCTAGTACAGCCTTGCATAGAACACTACAATGAGGTCTACTCACTGCATGCCTTTAACTATCAACTGGATTCTCTGCATGCAGATGATCATTTTGCATTCTTGCACCTCAGATTCTGCAGTCAGTCATTGTAAGCCTACCTACTAAATCCAAATGTGTCTATATATATATATATATGATATATGTTTTCCTTACTATGGCTTCATAATATACTTTGAAATAGAGTATTTAAATATTGTATTTTAGTTCACAATTATTCGACTGTTCTTCAGGGGGTTTTGTGATTCTGTATGAATTTTTGGGTTATTCTTTGTAGTTTTTCAAAGGATGTCATTGATGTTTTTCATGTGGAGTATATTGGATATATTGATCACTTTCAGTAATACTGCCATTTTCACAATATGAATTCTTCCAATACATGAACATTGGTAGTCTTTCCACCTGTGTGTGTCTTCTTCAATTATTTTCCTCATTGCACAATAATTTTCAGTGTAAAGATCTTTTGCATCCCAGTTGCTCTTTCCTTTTGAGCAGTTTATTTCCCTTTCTCAATATGTATTGCAGATTTTGTATCTTATTTACTCTTCTAGTTCTATAACTAGAGAGACAAGATGATGTTTACACATGTTTCCAGCACAGGTTTGATTTATTCACTTATGAGTTTGGTCTGTAGTTGCATCCATTTACCCATAAAATCTTCGAGGTTATCTTTCTTTAGAGCTGAGTTGTATTCCATTATATAAAAATACTACATCTTTTTTAACCATTCCTCAGTTGATGGGCATTTGGGTTGTTTCTAAGATTTACCTATCACAAAACTGTGCTTCTATAAACATGGGTGGACATACATCACTGTGGTATGATATTTTTAATTCTTCTGGGAAGATACCCAAAAGGGGAATAGCTGAGTTGAATGGGAACTTTAATCCTAGTTTTTAAAGGAATTTCCACACTGATTTCCACAGTAATTACACCAGTCTACCCTCCCACCAATGGAGAATGGTTCCTTTTCCACCACAGCTATCCAGCATTTGTTATCAGTTAATTTTTTGCTGATAGCCAATCTTTCTGTTGTGAAATAGTATCTCAGTGTTGTTTAAATTTGTATCTTATAAATGACCAATGATGTTGAATATTTTTTCATGTATTTATTTGTCATTCATATTTCTTCATCTAAAAGGTGTGTATTCATCTCAGAAGACCATTTTTGGATTGGGTGTTTGAATTTGGGGGGTCTGACTTTTTTAATTCTTTATATACTCTAGATATAATTCCTTTGTCTGAGGGACAGTTGGCTAAAACTTTTCTCATTGTGTGCCTTTTCTTTTCACTTTGTTAGTGATTTCTTTTGATGTAAATAAATTTTTCAATTAGATGAGATCCCAATTGTTGATTATTTGAAGTACTTCCCATGCAGTTTGGTTTTTGTTCATGAACTTTCTGATTACATCTACATCTTCAAGATTTCTACGTACTTTCTGTCCCAGTAGATTCAGTGTTTCTGTTTTAATATTTAGATCTTTGTTCATTTTGACTTTAGTTTAGTGCATGATAATATATATGGATCTAGTTTTAGTCTTTTGCATGTGGAGAACCAATTTTTCCAGCACCATTTATTAAAGAGGTTATCATTCTTCCAGTGAATTTGTTTGTTTTCTTTGTCAATGATAAGATAGCTAAGTGTGCTTAGGTTTGAATCCGCATCTTCTATGTTGTTCCACTGATCCTCCGGCCTATTCTTTTGCCTATACCATGCTGATTTATCACAATAGCTTTGTAGTATAATTTCAGACCTAGTTTTGTGGTGCCCTTTGACTTGCTTTTGTTGCCCAGAATTGCTTTTGCTACCCTAGTCTCTTCTGATTCCAAATAAATTTTAGGAGTTTTTGTTCTACATCTGTGAGGTATGCTAATGGTATTTTGACTAGGACTGCATTAAATCTCTATAGCAGTTTTGGGAGTAATGAAATCCAAAAATGGTCAGTTTCCTGCATGTGAGTTACTACTTCCAGTTTCTATATCTGAAGGAGGATGCTTAACTCTTCCTTCTCCTCCCATCAAGAGTTACTTTGTTTCTCTATCACTGCAGCTTCAGGAACAAAAAGTAAAGATCTTCAAGCCCTGTAATAATTACGTGTCAGTGAATTCCTGATGAAGCAGATTTCAAAGGATAATTCATTCTATGGTGTAGTTTTTTTTAACTCAGGAACTACCAAGTAACTGTTGTATAAAGAGTTCCACTGAAATACACACATTCCCCTCAGCCCAGCAGATTCTAGTTGGTAATTTCTATTTTGGGTCCATACAAATAACTCCAAATTGACGTCTAGTCCTTTAGGTCAGAAATCTCATAGGAGGGGGCTGGAGATTTACCTCTGCAGCACAATGCCTGCCCAGCAAGCACAAGGTCATGAGTTCAATCCCCAGTACTGGAAAAAAACCAAAAATCAAAAAAAGAAAAAAAGAAAAAAAAAGAACTCTCATAGGATCCTTCCATGTGGGAATATACACGTGACTGTCCCACCAAACAATGAAAATGTAAGCCATAATCAAGGCTTTTCATCTTACCTGGTTAAAAATAAAAAACCAGAGGGTATTACAACTAGTATCTCTAGCTTTTACATTTCTTTAGGTATGTGGAAATCAGAAACACATATCCTTCTTTGACTCTAGGGGTCCACGTGAAATTCTCTGAATGTCTTTACTTTTTCCCTTTGGTCCTTATTACTTAGATTGAAGTGAGATACAAGCATCTCTTCTTTACCCTGTGGAGAGTATACTAAGAAGTATTTTCTTATTTCTGACCTTTTCAAACTCCAAAGGATATTTTCCTCATCTGCTATACTTTCAAGGTAAGGGAAATAAATCAGTCACTAAAGAAATCACACTGTATCTTTAGAATTCTGCATAGGTGGATGAGAAACCTGTTTGAAGATATAAGGCTTGAAACACTAGCCTCTACCTCTGAGCACTTTGCAAAGATCCATGAAAAAGGCAACTTTATTTTCCACTTTTGGTGGCCTACAAAACTCAGAAATGTTCTTGTTGTTAAATTTTAATGAAACATATAAATTCATGTAACTGTCAAGTAGATGGATAATTGTGACTACATTCCTTTTGGATCTAGGACCTCAAATGATGACAACAGTTCATCCGTCTCTGTCTCTTTTCCTCTGTAGCTTATTCATTATTGTTTTCTTTTTTCTTGGAAGATTCATTTTTTTTTCATTCCTATAGATGTTATTCCATATAATGAAAAACTTTTTCTGTATGGTGTAAAAATGTTTGCCAATAGGTTTGTGTTCATTTTACTCCACCTTTTTAATCTAAGCTTTTTCAGGACTACATACAGAGTGTTTCTTATATTTAACTCTCCAGAAGGTTTTATTGGATCACAATCTGACTTATTACACCTTTTAAAACTGTATCAATAATATTAAGACTGGCCTAGCTTGAGAGCCTGAAAGTTGTTCCATTATTATAAAATGTTCTGGGAAAATTTTTCAAAAGAATTGTAAGAAGAGTAAAGTTTATATGGATTGTTGGTGACAAAGTTATAGTACTACCACACATATAAAATACATTTTCATAACACACATGGTTCATACTTTTATAGTCATTTACTTTTCCTTCCCAAAATATAATTGGATGAAAATTGTAATATTCTCTTTTAGATGAATGGGCATTTCATATGCTAAGTGAATGTAGTCATCCTTTGATATCTGAAGAGGATTGTTATCAGGACTGCCACAGCCTGCAGTCTCTCAGAGCTCCTGAGGGGTGGGAAAGGATGAGCAAGAGGGGATAAATAAAAATAAGAGACAGAAGGTGGAATTCAGGTGGAGCTCCCTCTCTGGATGAGAGGAAAGGCACTGCTCAAACACCACACCCATACAGCATTTATTTATATACATTTGGCAGGTTGGTGTCATGTGACACACATTTTGCCTAGCAGCCCGTTGCTTGGATTGTATCAGGGCTTGATGTCCTCTGGACTGCATGGGGCTTTCCTCCAGCACTTTTCGTTCTCAGACAGGATTTGCCCTGCCTCCACACATTTGATCAATTTCCAGCTTCAGCCACTTCCTACACAGGACCCACTGGACGTGAAAACCTCAGTTACTCATATCGTATATATAAAATGCCTAGTATTCTCATATAAACTACATATATGTTCCCACAAACCTAAAAAATTCTAGGTAGTTATTATTCCTAACACAATAAAAACACTAAGTGAGTGTTCACAATACTATACTGCATAGTTGATGATGACAAGAAAAGTTTGTGCACGTACCCAGTTCTGATGCCTTTTTTTCCAAATATTTATGATACCAGTTGATTGACTCAACAGATCTGAATCCATGGTGAATGGATGACTGTACATGAAGGAAAGAAATCAATGAATGAATTACCAAGATTTTTACTAGATAAGAAATAAAATGCCAAAGGTAGATTACTACCACTTCTTTTCTGTCTTTATCAAATATATCATCCATCTCATATGGTGTTTGCACGGTTCATTGTTCTCTTAAAAATAAGTTTGAGAAAGTTTACTGAATTGTCAGGAGAGAAAAAAGAAATATCTCTCTCTATATATATATTTATATATCTATCTGTATCTATATCTATATATGGTTAGGTCAAGAAAAGATTATACGTTCTCATAGTATATGACATTAAAGCATAAAACTTCACCTGGGTACTGATGATTATTATTGATTTAAGCTACTATTAAGTCAGGAAAATATGTTTGTATTAACACTTCCTTTCATCAAAGATCTGAACTGTCACCAACTATAAACTTTAAAAAAGACAATGATATAGGAATATCTATTTGTGTAATGTATACCAGGACACATTCTACTACTTGGGAATGCAGAACAAAAAATTGAGTAGTAAAATTGTCCTGCTGCTTTTTGTGTAACTATTTCCATTGATATTCTCATAATATTGTATGTGTATATATATATATGTATATATATATTTGTATATGTGTGTATATATATATATATATATTTGCTAACCCTTTAGCCAAAAAATGTATTATGTAACACACTGAGTATATTATCATATTGAAGTTTGTTTTCTCAACTAAAGGCTCATTTAAATAATTCTGTTGTCACCATGGGGAGCTTTTCCTTACAACACAGCCTGTGGTGCAGAGGTTGGTGACCACAGTATCTAAAGAGAAATGTGTGCTAGAGAAGAAGCAAACACCTGCTGAAGTTATTTTTGTTTTGACTAAAGAGGTACTTTGATATTCAGCTAAGGGGAAGAAAATGCATGTGAAAAATATAGCAAGTGATTAAAACCACGTTTATTTCCTAGAGGGTATCCTTTACAAGCTTTATCACTGTTTCTGGAGGTAAAACAAGAAGGTGTGTAACCTTTGGATCCTACTGTCACACCATTAATCTCACCCAGAATGAAGACAGAAGGTCCCAGTGTGTGGTGCCCACAGGACAGATATATTTAATAGACCAGGGCTTGATTCCATCACAAACAGTGTCATTTGCCAAGTTTAACAGAAAATAAAATCTCATCTTATAAATTACTGAAATAGAAAAATGCATAAAACATCTGCTTTCAAGTTATTTTAATGTCTATAACTTAAAGGAGCTATTTCTTAACTCAATCAGCTTCTCTTTGTGAATTAATTTTTGTAGATGCAAGTACATGTTAAGGTGGTTCTTATAGTTCTTAACTAAGTAAAACTTCTCTAGAAAAAGACAAGTTGATCTTTTAGACATCTCTATGGTATCTGCTTGCTCAGAAACATTGCACCTGGCATGGTGTATGTATAACACTTAATAACAACATACTTAATCTGTACGGTTAATAAAGTGTGGATATGTTAAAAATTTATCATGTGGGATATAGCTAACAGTGAAGATTGTGAAGAAAGGAATAATTTCTTGAGAGACCACCTGTTGGCCTCCAAACACTTTATTGCCAAAGTCTCATTCATTCATTCTTAATATGATTATTTTATTATTATTATTTCTGCTTTTATACAGGAACAGAACTAGTAGTTAGTGGGAAACTTTAAGTAACAAATAGTTCATCAAATTAAAAAAAAAACTGAGTTTTATTAGAGCAGAGATATAGTCTCTAAACTGTGCCAAAGTTAAAATCCATTAGTTTAGACATTAAAAGCCATCAAGATGTATCCTTTTCTCTAACTTTGAATGAGTCAAGTATTCCTTCTTTAAAATGCTTAGGACCAGTAGTGTTTTGGATTTCATAATTTTTGAACTTTGAAGTAATTGCGTATTCTTGGGTTTTTTTTTTTTTTTTTTTTTTTTGTTTTGTTTTGTTTTGTTTTTTTCTGGTACCGGGAATCAAACTCACGACCTTGCACTTGCCAGGCAGGCACTGTGCTGTTGAGCTAAATCCCCAGCCCCAAGTAATTGCACATGCAAATTGAGAAATCTTGGGTTTGGGGTTAATTTGAAACCCAACATTTGTTTCAGTTTTATGTGTACCACATACACACATCTAGCAGGTAATTTCACACATTTTCAGTGTGCCTGTGTTTTGACTGCGACCCATCACATGATATGAGGTATAGAGATTTCCGCCTTGGCATAATGCTGGTGTTCAAAGTTTCAGAGTTTGGAGAATTTCAGATTTCACATTTTTGAGTTAGGCATGCTCAGCCTGTCATCTCTCCTGCTTTATTTACTGTTGCACTGCTGACTGCATGGAGGTGGAGTTCAGAACACACTCCTCCAAAATACCTTATTTTGGCATGGTGATTGTTTTGAGTTACAGACACCTTAAAAGCAGCAGATGTAGGAAGGTCAGTCTGAGCTTAAAAGCAGAAGATAAAACTCCCATGTGGTAAATGTTCTCTCTGGGCCTGGAAGAAGGAAATAACTCATATTATCAGAGATGGAGAGAAGAAGCTGAGAGAAATTTGTGCAAGTCTACCTTATTAACCTAATTTTTAATCTTCTGCTCATTTCTCTGTGATTTGTTATCTTAGCCCAAAGCCCCTTGTTTTGTCACAATGCATAATCTAATAGTCTTGGTACAATTCTGTAAATTTTCAACTCCAATTGCCTTTGAGGGGGATATTTGTTTCTTTGTATAAGCTCCTATATTATACAATACTTGCATTAAATCTATTAGTATCTCTTTCAGCTGTTAATCTGTCATATGTCAACATTATTCTGAAGCCCAGTTGAAAAACTCAAAGAGGGAAGAGATAAAATTTTACCTTCCCTACTGTTTCTAGCAGTATTCATTTGAGTACATATGCAAAGGGTTGCTGTGGTGATGATGGTTTCAGATTAGTGTCTGCCATAAAGAAAGCAATTAAAGTTAACTATAGTTATTTTTGAATATAATTGAAAGTGTCCCAGTGACCCCATCTGCATTAGCAGGATTGATTAGGCACTGGTACAGTTACATGCGGGTCTACCGGCTTTCTCAGAGAGATACTTCATCTGGTGATTTGGATATGGAGACTGTTATTATCTTGTATTTTGTTCATCGAAAACCATGCCCTTCATGATCACGATGGCAGAGGAAGATCGTTCTGGAGTGTGACTTTTCTGCTCAGTTCATTGTCCAGAAATATCACATTATCTGAAGTAACTGTAATCGGGTTGTAAATGAGGCTGAGTATATATTTAGTAAGTAGAAAATATTTTGGCTAAAGTAGCCATATGGCAAGGAATTGTTTATTTGATTAGTAGTGGATCAATGTTTGCATAAGGTAACTTTCTATTTTTTCAGTAACACAATTTTAGATCAATAAAATTGATTGAAACTATTAAATAAACAATGATATGTTATGGAAATGAATATTTGAGAATGTAAATTATAACTCTCCCACATATTTTTA